TTGCAAACAAAGGTTTCTGTACCAAATATTAACACTGATTTTCTCGGGTGTTCAAATACTTATGTTCAGCAGTGCAAGACAAATAAATTCTTTAAAAATCATACAATGTTATTTCCTGAATTTTTTTTTTTTAATTCTGTCTCTCAGAGTGGAATGCACCTACAATGTGAATTTCAGACCCCTCCATGATTTCTAAGTGGGAGAACTTGCAAAATTGCAGGGTGTTCAAATACTTCTGTTCCTCACTGTATGTCATCACGTGATAAATGTGCCCACCATTTCTTAATGAATATGGGTCCTGTTTGGGCAACCTAAATGGGGCTCAGCTTTAACTCCAGAGTGACCCCCAAAGAGGTTCGTTGTGGGGGAAGTACCATGTGTATTTCTTCAGAATGAAGTGCCCATTAAAATATATTACTACTAATTAGAAAAATATGACCTTTTTCATTACAATAAAAGCAAAGTTTTCTCTTTTGACAATTTTTTCATGTACACAAACCTTAGCAAGATCAGCCACTGTATTGGCCTGGTCAGTTAGTTTCCTTTGCTCCATTTTGACTCTTCGCAGTCTAAAGTTAAAAATCAGAAGTACAGTCAAGTTTGTGCCATGTGAATAAACATAACAACTGAAGTCATAATCTAAGTACAGGAAACCAAACCCTGTCTCACACTGTGCTGTAACATTTAGCAAAAGAGTAAGGTGCAGCACATTGAGCTGATCCTGACATATTTATACCTACTGGTGGATGGCTTGCAGGAATTTACGCTGATGGTGGCGTACTCTGGCGTGGTCAATCTTCTTGACCAGCTTGGTGTTTTTGTAGATAAGCCACGTCTCCCTCAACACATTGGCTGCTGTGTTTTTTATCTAGGGGAGGAATATCATGCGGATGAAACAGCAAACAGCAGTAAGAATGTACTGAATAGTTTTAAACAGGATTTAAGTAATGTTTGTGCGAGGCACTTTCCCTATTGTATTTTGCTGGTATACTGTATCACACCCTTTTTGTTCATCTCTGAATCTCTTTGAGACGTAAATTAGACAAGTAATAAATGTATTTCTGTTTATACTGCACAGTCCCTCATTATTAAAAAATAGTGTAAAATAAATTTGCATGCACAAATGTAAAGAGACCTTTTTGTACAACTGAGTATCCATCATGAAATTATGGACGTGCTTCTCGGCTCTGGTGAGCTCCGATTTTCTTGCAACAACTGCGACAACTAAAGCTGTACAGCCTGCTCCCTGAAGAGAAGAACACTGGTTAAAACACTATAGAATACTGTAGTAAAAAGCATTATGATCTTCTATAGCTCACAACATTATATACTGGTATTCATCACTGTCATGAAAGTGAAAGCAAAAGTATTGTTAGATTACCTGTATATTATTTTCCTTTTATTTCTCCATCAATTTATTTACAATGCTTTTATACACATTATTTACATATAATTACAGTATAATTAAGTGTGTAGTATGAATTTAAGGCCAAAAAATGTTGCTATACTGTTGTATGTACAACCCCAAATCAGAAAAAGTTGGGACGGTATGCAAAATCAAAATTAAAACCGAAAATAGTGGTTTGTAAATCATTAATTCTGATGCCCGCAACACATTCCCAAAAAAGTTGGGATGGCTGCATTTTAGAGCTAGTAATGAGGTAAAACAATGAAATGATGATTCCATTTGAAATAAGCGATTGCAATCATGATTTGGTACAAATCAGTACAGGGCACAGATAATTTATAAATCAATTTTCCGTTTTCATTTTGATTTTACATACCGTCCCAACTTTTTCTGATTTGGCTTTGTAATTTGGCTACTTGGTGGGTGTACTGTACTTTTAATAGGTTCACCTCCACTATATGTTTGCTTGTACTGAGTCAGTATGAATCTCACCATAATCCCAGTTAACAGGCAAACACCTTTTCCACAGTAGGTCTGAGGGACCATGTCTCCATAGCCAATGGACAAGAAGGTGATGGAGATCAGCCACATTGCTCCAAGAAAGGTACTAGTTACCTCGTGTGCATCATGATACCTGTTGAGACATGACACCTGGCTGTAACGGTTGTTGGAGAGTGGCTGTCTTTGCTCAGTCATACCAAAGATGTTTCACAGGTAGGCTATCAGTGATTTTTTTTTTTTTATTAATATCCACTGAATAACATGGAAAACACTTAAACCTTCTGATGACACTGAAATAATGAAAGTGGTTACTAAAGGGAGAAAAGGAAGAGTGAGACATTCAGAAGTTTTAATGTAATACCTCTCACATATACGCACAGTCCATGCTGCAATGATCCAACAGGACACACTGAAGACCAGCAGGACTGTACCAGGGCAGATGGTCATCAGAGTCTTCATAACAAAACGAGTGTCAAAGTTGATCTTGTTGAGTGCCCCGATGCTGCGTGAGGAAGCATCTGTGAACAGCTTGCTGTGGAGCAGCATGACTCGACCAATCAGGTAGAGGCGCAGGAACATCGGTACAGAGAGGATGATGTCAACATCAGTGTCGGCTACTGATGCTGTGTAGCTGAAGGCCAGTCGAGCCGTCCAGGTGAACACATACTGGCCCGGGATTGGATGGATGGCACAAACGAGAAGCTCCAACATGACAAGGAGAATTCGTTCAAAGGTCATAGCTATCCTCCAATCATCTGCCCCATTGTCCACCATAAAGAGCTGTAGAAAGAAGAGAACACAAGATTTCAATGAGTTCTGCATATCAAACAACCTAGAACACCATAAAAAATAAAGCACCATTAACAATACACTGATTTGTTTGGAGGGTAGCTTTTATTTCAATGTGTCTGTCATGCATGTCATATTCCTGACTAAGTAAACACTACATGATGAAGTTTATTATTCATGTCTCCCTTGTCTTAAATTTCAAAGCTTTTTGGTGAGGTTGTTTTAATTATTTCATGCATATTATTATCCAAATAACCCAACATATTTTGCCCTGTTGCCCAAGGCAGCAAAATATATTTTGATATACAGGGTTTCTCCCCATTGTGGAATTAATTGTGGGAGGTACCTTTGATTTGCTTCTTAGAGGTCCCTATGGTGTTTTGTTGTTCTTGTGGTGTTTTGTTGTTTGCCCTCTAATGCTGCTGGAACACTGGAATTTCCCCATTGTGGGATCAATAAAGTCTTACCCTACCCTACCCTACCCTACCCCCTTTAACATATTCAGAAGCAAACTGTGAAATAATCTGACTTTAGTGCCACAGGATGTACAACAAATGACTTGTACTGTAGATAAACCACATGGCTGGATTGAGTTGTCTAATCAGAGTACACCCGGAACTGGGTTCCTCTAATATGATGAAACTCAACTTTGCTATTCCTAAACTTTGGCCGTATCTTGCAACCGCCTTCAAAGATCTTCCCTCCAGTATACAACCACCCAAACATATATAATGGCATCTGAGCAGGTTCCACTCACTGAAGAAGGTTTGAGAACACAGTGTTGTAAATCTAACTTTAAATTCAGATTTTCTGTTCTTAAGATATTTGTCCCCAGAGTTAAAAATGAACCTTACTAATCAAATAAATGGCCATCAGTGCTTTTACTGCATGCAGTTTTTTTTTTCTTTAACATACCTGGATTTCCCTTGCATGGTACATTACAATCAGTCCAAGAAGAATAGCAGTAGAAATGCTGATCAGGCCCTTCAGTGTATATGAATATATGGACAGCTGCAAATAATGGAGACAAAAACATAACAAAACAAACAATGGAATACTTGACAATGTCTGCTAAAAAAAAAAAAAAAAAGATCGAGATGCCAGAGTCAGTTGAGAATGAAGACGACTACCGTACCTTGCTGTAGAATCCTCTCGACAGCTCCATCTCTATCACCATGACAATAATGCCAAACATCCCACAGACCAAGGCATAGTCACTCAGTTGTTTGCGCTTCCCAAAGAGAGCTCTTCTCTGACCCAGCCGGTAACTAATATCTTTGGTCTTCTTCTGTGGTATGCTGCCATCCTCTCTGGTCAGGTTCTCACTATTGGCCTTACTAGAGTCTTCTCTGATGACTTTGGAGAAGGCGTCCTCGAGGATGGTACTGTGAAAAAACTGAAGAGGCTGCTGGCTTGCCTGAAGATCTGCAAGGCTGGATTTTAAAGTGCTGTGGCTGCTCAGCAATCGCACTGCATCCCCGTTAACTATGTCATTCGTTTCTAAGGTGTCAGATGTTTGAGCAGTGTGTTTAGGGAGGGAGGCTTTTGATCCACTGAGGTGCTGAAAGTTAGTACAGGAAATAGAGTAAGTACAGTACACATGATTTATCAGACAACCTCTCTGGACAAAAAATAAGACAAAATAAAACTGCCTAACATAATAAGAGCTTTTACATGTAGGTGATATGGACAGAGCTTGAAGAAATGACCTGCACAAAGTCAAAAAACTACAATAAATAAGGAAATATCTTGTACCTGACTATGGTGGTGTCTTGTTCTCTCCTCATCTAAATCCTGGTTCTCTACTGAACTGTACTGGCTGGTGGAGAAGGACTGGACACTTCTATTACTAGTTGGAGTGGATGACCGCTTCACCCGTGGAGTACTGGTCACAGGGTTGTATGGAAGATGACGGCACTTGAGGGTGATGGTGGCATCTCCTGATGACTTGCAGGTTTGTTCACCAGTTATTGAGCAGTGAGAGTCTTGCTTTTGGCCCCGCTGAACTAACAGTGGTTCCTTACGAAAAAGCTCTCTCCAGTCTGCACTGACAGCAAGTTGAGGCTGCTGGTGGTTTCTGATTTCTGGTTTCTTATTTGTCTCGGCACACCCGATGGAGTTTAGAGGAATGTTGAACAAATTTGAACAGTTTGCTTGACTGCTGCGTTTGAGTTTAAAATGACTGCAAGGCTGTTGCTGGAAAAGATCCTCTTGACTTTCTTGGACACTGAACTGAGGCATGAAGTTATCCTGTGGCTGGTTTGTTGCAGGTTTCAGTAGATCCCTTTGGTTTGTTTGCTGTGGTAAAAGTTGGCAAGTGGATGAAACTTGGGTGTTTTGAGAGAAAGGCTGGCTGTGTTGTGAAGATGAAAGGCTTCTCTTATTTGTAACCTTGGTGAGGCAGTCTTGGGCTGTGCCATGTTTTGATTGTGGCTGAAAAGTAGAAGCCTCTGAATGCTGATGAGCGTCAGGACAGGAACAACCACATCTGTCGCTGGGGTTTGGATGTCCGACACTGTTCCCTGCTCTCTGTGCCAAGGATGAATTATCACCTACACTGATAACCTGGTCACAAAGCAGCAACCACTCCTTATCATTCAGCTGTGATAAGGTTAGATTTCTGGCTTTCAGTGGTGACATTTGGGCTGAAACTCTTAGAGGACTGATTCCATTTGATCTTTGGTGTGGTGAAGATGAAACACAGTGCAAACTCTTCTCCTGTGGGGATGAAGATGTTTCAACCGAGGTTGCAGAGTATCGATCACTCTTCCCCTCAGGGGTCTTCTTCGGAAGGGGTGGACCTCCTGAGATACAGTGCTCATGGTCCCCGTCGTGGAAAACTTCGCCTGTTGAGTCAAGACGTCGTGTTGCATTGGTGGGTTTAACCAGAATCAACCTCATGGCATCACTGCAGAGCTGAAATTAGATCACACACAGCTCCTTTTTATATGCCACTGAAAAGAGAGCAGAAAAATCAGACAAATGAGGATGCCATGCAACAAAGATGCTGAAATATTTTATATTTGAAACATTTATTTGAAAACATATATTTCAGAAATCTCAGATTGCCTTTGTGCGAAACAGTGTAGTAAAAATGTTAAAATCAAATGTCCTTGAACATACAGTGGTGTGAAAAAGTATTTGCCCCCTTACTGATTTCTTATCTTTTTGCATGTTTGTCACACTGTAATGTTTCAGATCATCAAACAAATTTAAATATTAGTCAACGATAACACAAGTAAACACATCATGCAGTTTTTAAATGAAGGTTTTTATTATTAAGGGAAAACAAAATCCAAAACTACAAAGCCCTGTGTGAACAAGTGTTTGCCCCCCTGTCAAAACACTGGTTTATCGCACCTGAGTTCAATTTCTCTAGCCACACCCAGGCCTGATTACTGCCACACCTGTTCGCAATCAAGAAATCACTTAAATAGGACCTGCCTGACAAAGTGAAGTAGACCAAAAGATCCTCAAAAGCTAGACATCATGCCGAGATCCAAAGAAATTCAAAACCAAATGAGAAAGAGAATAATTGAGCTCTATCAGTTTGGAAAAGGTTATAAAGCCATTTCTAAAGCTTTGGGACTGCAGCGAACCACAGTGAGAGCCATTATCCACAAATGGCGAAAACATGGAACAGTGGAGAACCTTCCCAGGAGTGGCCGGCCGACCAAAATTACCCCAAGAGCGCAGCGACAACTCATCCAAGAGGTCACAAAAGACCCCACAACAACATCCAAAGAACTGCAGGCCTCACTTGCCTCAGTTAAGGTGAGTGTTCATGACTCCACCATAAGAAAGAGACTGGGCAAAAATGGTTTGCATGGCAGAGTTCCAAGACGAAAACCACTGCTGAGCAAAAAGAACATAAAGGCTCGTCTCAGTTTTGCCAGAAAACATCTTGATGATCCCCAAGACTTTTGGAATAATACTCTGTGGACAGACGAGACAAAAGTTGAACTTTTTGGAAGGTGTGTGTCCCATTATGTGTGGTGTAAAAGTAACACCGCATTTCAGAAAAAGAACATCATACAAACAGTAAAATATTGGTGGTGGTAGTGTGATGGTCTGGGGCTGTTTTGCTGCTTCAGGGCCTGGAAGACTTGCTGTGATAAATGGAACCCTGAATTCTGCTGTGTACCAAAATATCCTGAAGGAGAATGTCCGGCCATCCGTTTGTGACCTCAAGCTGAAGCGAACTTGGGTTCTGCAGCAGGACAATGATCCAAAGCACACCAGCAAGTCCACTTCTGAATGGCTGAAGAAAAACAAAATGAAGACTTTGGAGTGGCCTAGTCAAAGTCCTGACCTGAATCCAATTGAGATGCTGTGGCATGACCTTAAAAAGGCAGTTCATGCCCGAAAACCTTCCAATGTGGCTGACTTACAACAATTCTGCCAAGATGAGTGGGCCAAAATTCCTCCACAGCGCTGTGGCAGACTCATGGCAAGTTATCGAAAACGCTTGATTGCAGTTGTTGCTGCTAAGGGTGGCCCAACCAGTTATTCGGTTTAGGGGGCAAACACTTATTCACACAGGGCTTTGTAGTTTTGGATTTTGTTTTCCCTTAATAATAAAAACCTTCATTTAAAAACTGCATGATGTGTTTACTTGTGTTATCGTTGACTAATATTTAAATTTGTTTGATGATCTGAAACATTACAGTGTGACAAACATGCAAAAAGATAAGAAATCAGTAAGGGGGCAAATACTTTTTCACACCACTGTATAACAGTAGATTTTTAACCAGTAATTTAAGACTAATTCATCACTGTTATAAAAGCTGTTATTTAATCTCAGACTGTGCACTGCTAGTTGTGAAACATTTTGTCAGAAGCAGATGTAACTCTCATTCTGTGTTATTCTACTGTGCATGGAAAGGCTCAGAAAATCATACTCATCAGTTTTACATGATTTAACTATTTTGGAAGAAACAGATATAATTTGGAAACACTTGAGTTTTATTGCACCAAAGCCTTAAAGTATTACAGTATCTAGAAAGCTTATAGGAAGTGGGTGTAATTTGGGGTTTTCTACTATTTTGTGTCATTATACAATGTAAAATTTTGATAGATAAAAATGTCATATTTAAAGTTGTATTGTTTTTGAAAGGTGCTATAACATTTATATTAGTAGAAAAACATTCAATACTTCATTGCTTATAAAATGAATCAAATTAAAATTATTTAATTCATGGTATGAATCCACAACAGATTAAGAAAAGTACTGATCTGTCATTTTATTTTTATAACATGTCGAACAGTTGCCATTTACATGAGGAGAGTTTTAACTCCTAAAGTTTAGTCAAAAGGGCCTCAAATTGTCATCCTGCAAATAAAGTGTGTAAATGTTCACAGTTAAACCCCTGAAAATAAAACATGACAACCGCAATAGTCCAAAACTAATTATTCCAAATAGTGGTTGTCTTACTTTGGGCTTTAACATCTCAATTTTTAAAATTTATAATTTTCTTCTTAAAATAAATTATAACAAATGAACAAACCATCACTACAGGTGATCCTTACCTTCTTCTTCCATATGTTGTCCTTTTCCCCAACTGAAAGAAGCCCCTTACAAATAGAAAATGCTCCAGTTTTCAGAACAGAAGAGCTAAGAAGAGCAGCCTGAGTGGGTGGGGCTGTGGCCTCCCTCCTCCCAGTATGTTTACTTGATAAAGGAGCTTTGGAGACGCTTTCCTTTGAAAGTAATGATTAGAATTCAACATGAGGAAAGAAAAAGGCAGCAGAAGCTGGCCTGGTCAAGGGTTGCCACGCAAATGGCGTGGGAGGGTGCAACAACAGGTTAGGGTGCCAAAAAATAAAAACCTGTAACATCAGACCAGAGCATTAAGGCGGAACATCAGACATAAAGAAATCCATATAAATTGGGAGTGGACCAATTGGTTGCTGAGGAAAATAAAAGGAACTGGTTGCTTTCAATGCAAAGTGGAAAATAAAAGGTCAATTGAAGTTGCCATTGAAGCTCTGTAGTTCAAAGGCCTTCACAGCGTCTCTTATCTCCCGCGCCACAGAAGCCTGGCTGGACAAAAGTGTCCATTTTAAATCTGGATCTAAATGAATCAAGCCTGCGGGTGCAAGGCTTCATCAAATGTGTGGAAGAGGAATTATCAAATTTAACCTTCAGGAGCAATTTTGTAATAACTGCATGAAGAGAGACATTCAGCACCACAGTTAATAAAAAAAGAAACTTTGAGAGTTCATCTCCTCTGATGTTCAAAATCTAGGTTCAGTCAGTAGGAGTGGTGGTGTTTTCTCATCTGAGTAGCTATTAACTTTTTCCAATGTTTTATGTTGCTATTTAGAAATAAAAGATCTGCAAACATGAAATAGGTCTGATGCCTGTCAATGTGAAATGTAATTTAAAAATACAAACCATTTCCATGTTTGCATTTTTCCTTATTTTTACATTTTCCCTTAATATCTGGACGTGTGAAACGACCTCACTGTGGTTAAATCCCACTTTCCCAAATATAAATGCCGGTAAACTACACTTTAGTTAAATTGTTTGGCTTTTTAAAATTTATTTCCTAATATTTAGGTTACTTTAGCCCATTTTATCTGTGTTTGCTGTGCCACCCCCTGGCAAACCTACAAAGCCAGCAGCTTGCTACCTCAGCAGCTCAGTATATGAATGTTGCTGCACTGGGGAAAACCTTTGTGAACGACACTAACATTGACACTGTTGCAGGACAAACAAATTATTATGAAACTCATTTGAAAGCAAGAGCCATTACCAAGGCTGTGTTTAGTCAAGGCCCTGCAAAATAAATTCTAGAAATGTCAGGATGCAAAAAAAAAATAAAAAAAAAATAAATCAGGAAATATTTACCTGAGTCAATTTTTTGGTTTCAGATAACTAGATTTCTCTAAATTGCAGTGTATAACCCAGTTCTGAACTTCATATACTGTAACTTATTTTAAAAAGATGTGACTAAAAAGAAAGCTTCATCTCTGCAAACTAAAGCATGAGCCTTCAATTTTGACATACAGTGGATATAAAAAGTCTACACACCCCTGTTAAAATGCCAGGTTTCTGTGATGTAAAAAAACAAGACCAAGTTAAATAATTCCAGAACTTTAGCCACCTTTAATGTGACCTATAACTTGTACAACTCAATTGAAAACAAACTGAAATCTGTTTTTCAGTGGGAAGTAAAAATAAAAAACTAAAATAATGTGGTTGCATTAGTGTGCACACCCTCTTACTGTGGGGCTGTGACTGTTGTCAGAATGAGGCAGTCACATTCAAACTCATGTTAAATAGGAGTCAGTACACCTGCCATCAATTAAAGTCCCTCTGATTAACCCCATATAAAGTTCAGCTGTTCCAGTAGGCTATTCCTGACATTTTCATAGTCGCATCCTACAGCAAAAGCCATGGTCCGCAGAGAACTTCCAAAGCATCAGAGGGATCTCATTGTTAAAAGATATGAGTCAGGAGAAGGGTACAAAAGAATTTCCAAGGCATTAAATATACCATGGAACACAGTGAAGTCAGTCATCATCAAGTGGAGAAAATATGGTGCAACAGTGACATTACCAAGAGCTGGACGTCCCTCCAAAATTGATGAAAAGACAAGGAGAAAACTGGTCAGGGAGGCTGCCAAGAGGCCTACAGCAACATTAAAGGAGCTGCAGGAATTCCTGGCAAGTACTGGTTGTGTAGTACATGTGACAACAATCTCCTGTATTCTTCATTTGTCTGGGGCATGGATATTTTTCTTTGTAAGAAAAGGCTTCCGTCTTGCCACTCTGCCCCATAGCCCAGACAAATGAAGAATACGGGAGATTGTCGTCACATGTACTACACAACCAGTACTTGCCAGGAATTCCTGCAGCTCCTTTAATGTTGCTGTAGGCCTCTTGGCAGCCTCCCTGACCAGTTTTCTCCTTGTCTTTTCATCAATTTTGGAGGGACGTCCAGCTCTTGGTAATGTCACTGTTGCACCATATTTTCTCCACTTGATGATGACTGACTTCACTGTGTTCCATGGTATATCTAATGCCTCTTTTGTACCCTTCTCCTGACTGATACCTTTTAACAATGAGATCCCTCTGATGCTTTGGAAGTTCTCTGCAGACTATGGCTTTTGCTGTAGGATGCAACTAGGAAAATGTCAGGAATAGCCTACTGGAACAGCTGAACTTTATATGGGGTTAATCAGAGGCACTTTAATTGATGGCAGGTGTACTGAGTCCTATTTAACATGAGTTTGAATGTGACTGCTTAATTCTGACAACAGTCACAGCCCCACAGTAAGAGGGTGTGCACACTAATGCAACCACATTATTTTAGTTTTTTATTTTTACTTCCCACTGAAAAACAGATTTCAGTTTGTTTTCAATTGAGTTGTACAAGTTATAGGTCACATTAAAGGTGGCTAAAGTTCTGGAATTATTTATCTTGGTCTCGTTTTTTTTTACATCACACAAACCTGGCATTTTAACAGGGGTGTGTAGACTTTTTATATCCACTGTAGCAACGGCACACTGACAGTTTGGATCATAATCTGAGTCTTCAATTTTTAGAATTTACCATCCACTTCGATTTCACCATCAACTTTGAGAGAGAGAATAGGATGACATCAGAGGTGACTAAAGGGCCAAAGGGTCTGGTGTGGTAGATAAGGGAGGACAGCTAGCTACTGTTTGAAGAGACAGGGATGTTTTTTTTTTTAGGAAAAACATCTGGATGTTTTTGTTGAAGTGGAAAAACTTCATATTATCATCTTCACATTGGTTTTCTGTACCAATAAAAACATTTCAGAGTGCATGTCAGCCTATAAAAGCAGCAGATTCATTCTCTTTGTCTTGTCAGACAATGACTGGTTCTTTGCTTGGTAAAAGCAGCTACACCAAACTTCTGACAACAGCTATTTAAATTTACCATGACTCTGCTGGTGTCTGATGAGTTCTGTCTTTCCTGGACCCAAAACTATAATCAACTTTCTCCACGAATGAAAGTAACTTTTGATCTCTGTAACGCCATCTTCATTTCTGAATAAGAATCACACAATAGCAGCAGCTCACAAACATATGTGACTGCAGTGAATTACTTCATTCAGGTGCCTTCTAGCAAGAAGGGAGACGTTTTGCATTTAAACAGACTGACCGGTGAACTTTAATAAGTTACTCTCAAAACATCTGGCTTCCCACTTCCCATGTGTGCTAGAAAAAAAATTTATTAAACTTATATTAAGCTTATTAGAAGCTGAGATGCCTCAAGTACACAGACATGATGATTAGTTGTGATCTTGATAAGGGAAAATGAACATTTCCGTGCTAGTGAGCAGAACAATGAAGTAGAGTCCTCTGGCACTGGAGAGTGTTTTTCTGGGCAGGTAGTGGTGAAGGTCTCTCAGCAACACTAATTTTTAGAGGAAATTACCAATGTGCACTGGCAGACAGTTTTAAAATGAAGTTATGGAGAGAAAGAGTGCATTCACTTTGAGTTGTAGGTGACAAAGCATTGGTTCAGGGGGTTCTCTGGTGCCTTCATCCACTCCTTCTTCAACTGTTGCTTCAGCTGTGACATTTACCATTCTTCCTTCCATTTCTAGTCCATCTCATACTTGAGTTGAACCATACTGAATTTCTTATTTCATAAAAGTAACAGGAGAATAGAAGGTCCTCAGGCCCCATGCTGAAACACAGGAAAACATACTAAGTGATAACTAATTGTTAGCATTTATAAATCATAATTACAGTTTTTTAGGCCCATGCAATTTAATTTACATCAACACTGCAATAACAAGTCAGTCACAAAAACCACAGGATGTGAAACAGTGCAAACGGTGAATAACTGCTACCTGAGCACAGCAATGGCATCTTCTATTGTTCTGGCTTCCACAGTTCCTTCATCAGGAATAATTCTGTTCACGTTCTCCTCCAGTGGAGTCTCCAAATGGCTCTTTTCTGTGGGAAGAAATTTAATCTGACAATCTGACAAAGCAGTGTCATGATTCAAAATGTTGCTGTTGCCAAAACAGTAACTACTGTTTGATTTTATCTGATGGCTTCACCTTTATTCTAACCAGCACACATTTATCAACATCCTCAACCTCATACCTGTCGGTGTGAGCTGCTGTTGCTGCAGCTGCTCATTCTGTAATGCCTCCTCGATCTGGGCACGAGTCAGTTTTCCTGCAAATCCAGCCTCCCTCTGGGATTTGCCTTTCAGTCTGGCATTCTCCTCATCCAGAAGTCGCTGGTTTTCCTTTTTCCTCTCCAGGAGTTCCAGCCTCTTCTTCTCCTTGTCATCCTGTGAAAGGTAGAAAATTGTTCAGTGCAGATTATTTTGTACTGACAAAATATTTATTTTCCTAAAACCCAAAAATATTACAGTCAAATAAAAATGTAGTGGTGAAACAGACATTTAATGGTCCATGGCCAGAGGCTATACATTAAGTAAATTAATCCATCAAGTTGATGTGGTATTTACAGCAGTGTATGGCTGTAAAGGTCATTGTAGTTTGGCCACTACTTATATTGTTACATTATATTAAGACATTTGCATTCATTTTGTTGTTTGCCCAACATCACCACAAATAATGAATCATGCAACAAAGCACTTACAACAGCCCTATATCATATAAAAGTCTTTTACAAAATATATGTTAAAACAAAACCTAGTTATGTTTGGAGGTAATGCCCCCAAAACAACTGTCCACTGTGGTCAAGTTCAAGCTCAGCCAGAAAAGTGTCTGTGACAGTGGGATCTACATTAACTCTGGAACAGTCAGAAAAAAAGATGCCCCCTCTCTCTAAATTAAATCTAGCTTTATAATACTCTACAGCTGTGTACATAAAGATATTCCTGTTTCTTAATACATGCTGATCTTGTTATTGCTAAAATGCTGGTTAAGCAGAGGTTGTTTTCTCTTCTTTAGATTTGTTCTGTTTCATGTAATGAAATGTAATGTAACAACCTAATCTCTCACTGGAGAAAATTACTGTAAAACTTAATTCTACCTAGACTTTAGACCAGTGGATATGGACCAATCAAAACTGTGATCCTGATTAAACAATGTAATCCAATTTTACTTCATTAAATATAATAGCTTTGTCATATTTAAAAATGTCAGCATTTCTGCCATGATTATTTCTTTTTTAAACCTTATGATTTTGTAATTTAATATTTGTACACACATAATTTAGTACAGACCATCCAACAAGAGAAAAGAAATGTATCACTATATTCAAACTTCATTAAAAGACACCATTCACCAGAATGTGTAGCACACTATTACTCATAAATCTGAACTTGACACCTGGCTAGCAAGAGAGCTCACCTTTCTCTTCTCTTTTTTGAGTGCATGTTTGTCAGTTTCCTGCCACAGAGCGTCCTCTTCCTCCTGCTTCTTGCGAGCATCTGCCACTGCCTTGGCCTCAGCCTTGCGGGCTCTGGCTGTGACTGCCTTGGAGTTCTCACCCTGGAACTTCTTTGGCATCCCAACAGCTGCCTGTCAGCTGAGAAAGAGAAATGAAGACAAGAGAGCTGGAATGACAAGAGATTTCAAAACTGATTCTCAATACAGAAATCCAAATGTCAGCCAAGCCAAATAACTACAGTGATTCAAAACCCTACCTGCTTAAAGGTTTTGAAAGTGGTTAACAATTTTTCTTTTCAGTGTTTTTCATATATATAGGATCTGAGGTTTAATAATAGGTTAAAGTACCTAAATAAATGTCATGTTAATAAAGTCACGCAAGCCTATTATTTTTGCTCCATAGCTACCATAACTATGTATGAGTTTATGAATGTGGGTTAGCAAACACGCAGGTTAATGAAACTGGCGCAAAAAGTAAGTTAATTCAACCTTTACTGAATGCTAAAATTGCACAAACGACTGCAGTTTGGCTTACTGTAGCTAGCTTTAGCTTCTGGATGTTAGCCTGCTAAGCAAGACTGGGTTGCTTGTCAACACGCCCTATATTCCTTTTAGACATTGTCAAAACTCCACTAAGACCATAATGATTGCACTACACAAATATTCATGTATAAACATATCTCATACCAGTATGAGAGGGAAAGAAGGTCGTAACTAGACAACAGTTGTCTGCTGTTTCGAGGAAGCATCTGCCACCTCCTCCCTGAAAACAGTGCGCACTCTGATGACGTAACCCCATTTGGTAGCTTTACTCCAGTATATTTCAAGAAAACGTAGACACTGCTGTGGCCTTTATTCGTCAAATTATACATTTGTATATAAAGCTAAAGAAATTGGATTTTTTCCATTAAGGAATGTTAAGTTATTGTATTGTGGAAGATGTAACACGCCATTATTGTTGCCAGAGAACAGATGTCCTAGACAGCTTGACCTGTATAAAAATTCATCTCCCTATTTGAGAACAAATTTTGTCTCATTTTAACCTGTCCAGTCCATTATTCTAGACAATTTATGTTGTTTAGAAAATACATGCTTTGTGGATTTCTTTTTTTTTCTCATGCATTAAGAAAACTATATAAAACTAGTTTCTTTAGTCCTAAAGATATAATGCATCTCCAATCTGCTCACTGTTATTTATCTAAAGGTCACAGCTGAGTTAAAAAAAAACATGCTTTCCTCTAAAATGTAGTGGAGTTTCAATGAATAACTGGAAATTTCCAGCTGCTGCCATGCTTGAGTCAACTAAGGGAAACAGAAAACATTAAATGAATATTTTTATTAAGGTACACACTTTAGACAAATATCCAAAAAAGTAAATTATAAATAATAATAAAATAAGTGTGTTCTTCATTCAGAAGTCATTGTCACTCTCCTCCAGCAGAGAGGGGCTCAGCCCCCCCCTGGAGGGGCGAGCTCCCCTGGACACCAGGTGCTCCAAACTGTCATCCAAATTTTGGCTCTCCTCCTCCTTGTCTTCCTCATCTTCCTCGTCATCCTCGTCCACATCAATCTCACTGTTTTCACTCTAAAAGAGTGGTGAGCAGGAATACATTAATGTTCACAACTATTACAAAAAGTGCACATCTGTTCTCAGAGTCCAGTGAAAATTTCACTGTGAAATCATCAAACATGTCTACTTTACTTTTCTGAACTATAACAGTTAAGAACTACAACAAGGACAGGCACATTTTCATTCCAAGTATTGACTACATCAGCTAATTTGTCAGGATATCTTCACTCACAGAATCACCACCTTGACTTGAATAAAAAATTAAGCCTGCAGAATTAACTGTGGATTCTTGACCTAGGAGGATGTCCACCAGGAACCAGACAACTACAGGGACCACTTAAACCTTTTGCCTAATTTTAACAAAAAAATTCTCCCTAAACACTTTGACACTGTTATAGACATCAGCACCATTGTTCAAAAATGATACAGGCTTTAATGCATTGTACAAAATACCAATATCTACACCCACAGACACATCACTGGAGGAAAATGCAATGAAGCAGTAATTTCTCTTTCTCCTTTGATATTTCTCAGCAACAAACTTTACTACCTTAAGTAAAGTTTATACTGTTTGTGTGTACTGATCAGAGATGGCTAAAAGACATGGCTAAAAAATTACAGAAGGAAGTTAAACCAAGTCATCTAATGCTCCTACCTCAGTTCTCCCTCACCCCCCTGGTGAGGGGGACTTAACCATAACGGAACTGGAGCACACAAGGTGAGAAGTGGGAAGAAGAAAGGATGTCTTGTATTGATGTAGTTATGATAGTACTAACCTCGTCGCTGTCTCCACCCTGCATGTTCCCAATGAATCTAGCTCCTCTTCCTAAGGGTAAAAAGAGGCAATGCTCAATGCACATGAAAGGAAGTAATGTAATATAATAAGTTTGTCTGTCTGTGTACCTGCCAAGGTGCCACTTCGTGTGGGCCGTGGCTTAGAAGGTCGAAACTCTTCAATGTCACTGTCTGAACCTTCATCTTCTGGAACATCCATATCAGAGTCCTCATCTTTTACTGCAGAAAACATATCTTATGGGATAACCGTATAAGACAGAAGAAACGGGTGCTTGTAGTATGTGCGCACGTGTGTGTGTGTGTGTGTGTGCTTGTCTCACAGGAACTTCTCATCATATCCATTTCCTCCTCTCTCAGTTTTTGCTGCATCATCCTCAGTGTGTTTTTCACTTCCTTTAGAGACAAAGGGACAAATATATACATGCATCAGCCTTCAAACATCTGTTGAACATCTGCTGCAAGCTTTTTCCATTTCAATGCAATTTTATGAACAGTAGTCTCATGTCTCATCATCACAGGTTTCCATATTTTACTAATTTACCTTTATATATTTTTTTGTTTTCAAATATTTGCCAACAAATACAGGTCTCTTGGTTATACTGAGCACTGCTGAGACAAAGCGTTGCTACCTTTAAGCGAAAAAATGTACGAGTGTTATTACAAGCAGTTCCATAGTAAGTCATTTTATAAAACATCTGAGAATCACTGTTCTGTGCACCATACACACACACACACACACACACACACCTCAAACCTCTCCTGCTCCAGTCTATAGTAATCATCCAGCTGTGACTCCAGGAAGCAGAGGTTCTTAAACTTGTCTGCATAGATGTCATATTGCTTCTGGAGATCTTCTTCGATTTTCTCATATTCATCCATGAATGCTGGCCTAAGAGGTTAAAAGACAAAGAACAAAAATCTTTTACTTGCTACAAGACAAAGAAAGACAATGGCTAAAATGGCAACATTTTTCATGTAACAGTGTGAATAATTAAAATCAAACTGACAACCCCTACACACACACTATGTTTTGTATTCATTTATCTAAGGTACCAAGAAAACATTCCTGTCCTTTAGCCTCTCTGTGAAGTTTA